TTCTTTTAAAAGAAAATCCCCAGAAAGACATTAAGATTGTTTTAATTCCTTAAGTGTTTGTGAAAAAAACTGTTTTTCTACTTGTAGCTTTGAGCTAAAGTTTCGCTAAGTAGGAGTTTTTAGCTACTTTTCATGTTAGACACTATCCTGCTGCTTTTAGCTCAGAACTGTGTTGCTATTTTTAGCTTTTAGCTATGGTTTTGCCAGGATGAGTTTTCGTGAGCTAATTTTTTCACCTAACGTTTTCCTACTTTAAGTTATCATTCTGATCGCTTACTCTACCATTCTGCTACTTTAACTTTTAGCTACCATTCTGCTACTTTAACTTTTAGCTACCATTCTGCTACTTTAACTTTTAACTAACATTCTGCTACTTTTAGCTTTTAGCTATCATTCTGCTACTTTTAACGTTTAGCTAACATTTTGGTACTTTTAGCTTTTAGCTATCATTCTGCTACTTTTAACAGTTAGCTAACATTTTGGTGCTTTTAGCTTTTAGCTATCATTCTGCTACTTTTACCTTTTAGCTATCATTCTGCTACTTTTAACGTTTAGCTAACATTTTGGTACTTTTAGCTTTTAGTTATCATTCTGCTACTTTTACCTTTTAGCTATCATTCTGCTACTTTTAACAGTTAGCTAACATTTTGGTACTTTTAGCTTTTAGCTATCATTCTGCTACTTTTACCTTTTAGCTATCATTCTACTACTTTTAACGTTTAGCTAACATTTTGGTACTTTTAGCTTTTAGCTATCATTCTGCTACTTTTACCTTTTAGCTATCATTCTGCTACTTTTAACGGTTAGCTAACATTTTGGTGCTTTTAGCTATCATTCTGCTACTTTTAACGGTTAGCTAACATGTTGGTGCTTTTAGCTTTCAGCTATCATTCTGCTACATTGACCTTTTAACTACTATTTTCCAACTTTACTTTTTAGCCACCGTTCTTTTAATTTTAACTCAAGCTTTCCTAGCTTTACTCTTTTTGCAGTGGCTGATTTTAGCTGATTTTGTCTGATTTTAGCTGATTTTGTCTGGTTTTGGCTGATTTTGGCTGATTTTGGCTGATTTTGTCTGATTTAGCTGATTTTGGCTGATTTTAGCTGATTTTGTCTGATTTTAGCTGATTTGTCTGATTTTGTCTGATTTTAGCTGATTTTAGCTGATTTGTCTGATTTTAGCTGATTTTGGTTGATTTTGTCTGATTTTAGCTGCTTTTAGCTGCTTTCAGCTGCTTTTAGCTGCTTGTCTCAGATGTTTGAACCCTGATCAGGACAGGTGTGTTCTGACTTCAGTCTCGTCACTCTGAATTTTATTTTGATATTTGTCTCGTGTCTCGTTAACTCTTTAGCTGATAGCTGCTGTCAGCTGATCCAGAACCGAACGGGTTTCGGCTGCTGGTGCCCTTCTCTCCTGGTCTCAGGACGTTCCGGTCCTGCTGCTCTTATATAACAGGATCATAAATAAAACAGAAACACGACACTTTGGATCCTCACTCTCTCTCACATGAGTGACCCGCGGATCAGAACCAGAACATTTCCCCCTCACACACACTCAGGCCTGTAATGATCCGGTATCTTTTGTTTTCTGTTGGGTTTGTGTTCCTGCTGACCTCAGAAGCGGGTCAGCGTGTTCTGGAGAAGGTTCTGATCTGTAAACAACAGGTTACCTTCAGCTGGGAGCAGATTAGAGTCCAGAGAGAACAAAACAAGCTTTGTGCTGCAGCTTCCTGCAGAACCGGGCCGCTCTACGCTAAACCCAAATACAGAACCGGTCCTGGTCCTGGAACATAAACCAGATGAGTTTTAGATGAAATCAAAGCCCCACTGAGACGTGTTTTTCCTGGAACCAGGACCAGGAAGCTGAAGCCTGGTGGGRCAGGCGCCCTCTAGAGGCAGCTTCCAGAACCTTCCTTGTCCTCAGCAGGAGACAGGAGCACTCAGGCCTCAGGCTGACTCACACAACCTCTCATTTTCAGCTCGTGTCTGGAATGTTCCGACCAGAACYCCCCGGGCTCCGGCTCGGTTCTGGTTCAGCTCGGACTCTGTCAGCTGCTGCTCTCTTCCTTCTCCACAGTTTGTCAGAACCTTYAGGCACCGTTCGGAGCTCGACCCGGTTCCCTCACAGCTGTTCGACCCGGTAAATGCACGCTCATGGTTCAGTCTCTTCAGGACAATAAATGAACTCAGTTACTGAAACATTTCAGCTGCAACGATTCAACAACAAACAACTTTTAAAAACAAGTTTGAGTTTATTTTGAAAATATCCCTGATTTTTTTATGATCCGAGGGTATTTTAACCTGAAAGGGCCTGATAACTTCCTGTCCTTGTTCTKTCCAGACCTGAGAGCGCTGAAGCAGCTGTCAGGCACGGTGGTGGCAGCATCATGATGTGGGACAGGTCAATAACTTTGATGCTCTGAACAGGATGAAAAATGAAAATCTTTTCTCTGATCGTTTGTTCCTGTCGGACTGCAGCAGGCAGTGTTGCATGCTGGGAGAGCTGTTGCCTGGGGGGCAGCGAGCGCCCCACCCTGACGAGGCCGACGAGGAAGAGGAGAAGAATCTGCTGAAGACTCCGATCGTTCCTCAGAGTCAAAGACTTCCTGACTTCAAACCCTCTGAACTGGAGCTCATTAAGGCCAAGAGCTCTGTTGATTTTAACAAAATAAAAGCCTGAACTCYGCAGAACACATTGCTTTTTATAAATGCCGAGTCAGCATTAAGGTTTYACCTTTACTTATTTTGTTTGTTTGTTTTTATATAATTTAACTCATATCACTTCATATTTTATTATTTTAGCTGTTCTTAAACCTTCAGCTCATTCAGCAGCTGATGCTGGGACCGAAGGCCGTTCCCTCTTCAGCCACTGTGAGTCAACCTCCATTTTTATACTTTTCAAACTCTTAAACTTTATTTAAAATATTTTCTTAACAGAATCACATCAGATTTCTTTGTCTTTTAGATTGCAGCTCATTTTTGATAATTTCAGCTAGCCTATTGCTACATTTAGCTTTTGTTTCACAACTTTTAGCATTTAGTTCTTCTTTTGCTACTTAGCTTCCAGCTAGGGTGTTGCTGCTATTTTTCTAGCTTTAGCTTATAGC